GGGCGCCCGCGGGCCGGCGGCCTGGGGAGGCGGCGGGGGCCGCTGACCGCGCCGGGGCCGCGGGAGGAGGAGGTGGTGGAGGCGGCGGCAGCGGCGGGGGACGGTGCGGGGCGGCCGCGGTGAGTGGGGCCTGGGCGAGCGGGGGGCGGCGGGGAGCCCCGGGCTGTGTAGGCCTCGCGGCGGGTGAGCCCCGACTGCGGGTCCCGGGGCGCGATGAGAGGCAGCGGCTGCGTGGGGCCTGCGGAGCCTCGTCCCCGCACACGTGTGTGCCGCCCACGGGCTGTGCCGGCCAGGCCTGGGCCCGGCTCCGCGGGGGGTGGGGAGAGAGGGGCTGCGGGGATGCCGGGTATCGCCGAGGAGTCCGCCCGCACGGGCGCGGCGGTGGGCGCTGATGGTGGTCAGTGTGGCGTCGGGCTGAAAAGCGCCGCTGGCATCGAGTGGGGCAGGGCGGTAACGGCCTGATGCTCGGTGCTTGGGTATGGAGTAATGCGATATGAAGGCCTCGCTACTTAAGAGAGCATTTTGAAAAGCTGCGTGCAGCAGTAATGTCCATCAGTGCTCGGCTCTAAAAGTCTCTCTGAGTCCATTCCAGGAGAAAATACACTGCTGTAGGCTTGCTCCTAGCCTTCCAGGAAGTTTCTGCGTTCCCTGCGGACCACAAGATTGAGGAGGGCTGGTTCACTGAGTGTTCTCTGTGCAGTCCCTGCAGCACCAGGACATTCGGGTCCCTCTACTCCTCCTCCCAGCCTGGAGCTGCAGTTTGAGCCCTTGCGGTGCTGAGGAGAGAGGACTGGAGCCCCGCACATTCCAGCAGCACCTTTTGCCTACAGAACAGGCATATCCTGCAGCAGGTGTGGCCAGCCTCATTGCCCCAGGCACTGGGGTGTGTGCTGTGAAGAGGTGTGGGGGAACATTGCGGGGACATTGTGTTGAGAGTCATGTTTAATAGCCCCAATGGACCTTCACTCCAGGAATTTGCTTGTGTTTTTTGCCTATTTGTGCTCTTGGCCTCCACAGCATCCCGTGGCTGTGGTTAAATCAAAAGCTTTGCTTTTGTTTGCACTGAATCAACTGTCAGCCCTTGTAGCATGGGGAGCATCGTGCTCCCTCATGGTGTAAGCTCCCAGGCAAAAGGGAGGGCTGCCCTAAAACTTGTCCTGCTCGTTCCTGGCTCTACCTGTTCCTCTCTGCTTGGCTGTGGAGGTGCTGCTCTGTGCTACATGGTGCCAGTCAGACCTGCCTTCCTCAGGGAATGCTTTGGAGAGTTTTCCAGCAGGCAACCCTGTACTGCAGTGAGGCTCTAGTCGATGTGGGGCACTGTGACCGTGGGAGAGATTGGGAGCTAACAGCAAACTCAGCAAAAAACTTCTTGTGTGCTAAGCCCACAGTGTGATTTCCTCAAAAGTGCCTGGCTGTCAGGTTAGGGTCCTGTGCTGTGCGTGGGAAGGAGTGCATTGGGCTTGGAGCCTTCCTGGCTCCTCTCTGCTTCTTGTGCTTGTTTGCACAGGGTGCACTAGGGTCAGGCAGGAGCCCCTGTTTCACACCTTGGCTCTACTCTGCACTCCCACCCTGTGTCACCGTCACCACAGGCTCTGTGCCTGTTGTTGCCCTAAAGGCTCCCCAGCTTGGTCTGGCAGCTGCTGGTGGGTTGGCCCTGAGGCTCTGGGCCAGCTGCCAGCACCCTCTAGTCCTAATTGCATGCATTCTGGGGGATCTTGCCACAGCTCCCCAGCTGCTGGGTCCCTTAGGGTCCATGCTGTGGCATTCACCTGGCCCAGGGTCCCTCTTTGTGATGTTCCTGCCTTAGCGGTTTGCCCAAGGGAGGATTGCAGGCAGGGACTGGAGATCACGGTCAGCTTGGTCATTCCTCTCTAAGGCATGCTGCTGTGCTGCAGATCCAGCCTCTGTACAGGACTGGAAAGGGCTGGATGGGAAGGCTCATCTCAGCCTGAGTGCCACCTTCCTAGCAGAGCTCTGGCCTGGCTCCAGGTGTCATATGAGATAAGGAAACCCTGGGCACAGTGTCCCAGGGATCCCAAGCAGCGGGAGCAGATGAGAGGAGCCACAATGCTGCTGTGAGTTGGACTCCCCTGGAGGTGACAAGGACCCCTTGGGGGCTGCCTGCCCAGCCCTGTTCCATCCTGCCTGTGTCTGCCTGCAGCTGCTGGCTCTACTCAGTGCCCTGACAGCTGCTGCTTTCCCTCCCAGGGGCAGCTCTGCTGGCATGACTTCTGTTGCGGCCCTATTTTGGAACCAGCGCTGGGGCAGTCGGGAGTGGGAACAGGAGGATGTGATGCCTCAGGCAGAGGGGGCTGGTGAGGGTATCCGCAGTGCCCTGGGGGCACCTCAGACTTGCTGTGTTTTGAAGTGTGACCTTCTGCAGGGACTCAGCCTCTGTGGGGGCTCTTTGCAGCAACTTTGGGGAAATCACCGTTCCCTGCTGGAGAGCTGAGAGTGGGTCTGTCCCTTGGAATCAGACAGGACCTGCTGCTGGGGAACACCTCTTTGTGCTCCACCTCGCTGGGAGAAGGCTCTGGATGCTGTGCTTACATGAAGTCGAGATGGGGGATTGCATGGAGACTTGACACAAGTGCAGGAGTGTCCACTTTGACCAGGAACTGGACAAAGCTGGGGTCTCTGCTGCTCACCTGGCTGGGCTCTCCTGCCTTATGCTCAGCTCTGGTTCTTCTTGTGCGTTCACAACTGTGTTTTCAGAGCAGAGAGTCTGAGCAGTGTCCTAGTCTCTTCATCAGGCTTGATCTGCCCTGCTGGCACTGGAGCTGAGGTCAGGTTTCACCAGTAGAGTGGGGCAGTGGCTGGCCGCAGCCTGACCATAGGGTGTCTCAGCAGGATTGGAACCGTGGCTGGAGCTGCCTGCCTCCCTGTGCCCAGAAGATGACCAGGCTGCTCTTGGGGGTGACCCTGGAAAGGATTTGCAAGGCCGTGCTGCTGCTCTGCCTGCTCCACTTTGTCATCATCATGATTCTCTACTTTGACGTCTACGCGCAGCACCTGGACTTCTTCAGCCGCTTCAATGCCAGGAACACCTCGCGCGTGCACTCCTTCTCCAACTCCTCTCGGCCCAACAGCACGGCCCCCAGCTATGGCCCAGCTGGCGCTGAGCCCCCATCCCCCAGCGCCAAGCCCAACACCAACCGCTCTGTCACAGAGAAGCCCTTGCAGCCCTGCCAGGAGATGCCCTCCGGCTTAGGTGAGATGTGCAGGGTGAAGGAGGGGGGAGGTTGGGTGCTGGTGGGGGATGTCCCCTGAGCGAGGCTTTCCGGTGGTCCCAGGGTGGAGAAACCCAAGGCTAACATTGGTACCAGCACAGTTGATAGCAAGTGCTGTTTGGGAAAGGTTTGGGGAATCCTTTGTCCTCAGCAGTGCTGGTCCCCTTTGTGGGTCCCCCTTGTTTGCTCTGCTGACCCAAGTGGGAGCAGCAGGTGACCATGACCTGTCTTGTGTCGTTGTCCTGCTGCCATCGCTCTGCCTGGGCTCCTGCAGTCGGGCGCCTGCTCATCGAGTTCAGCTCCCCTATGAGCATGGAGCGAGTGCAGCGGGAGAACCCCGATGTGAGCCTGGGTGGCAAGTACACCCCCCCAGATTGCCTGCCCCGGCAGAAGGTGGCCATCCTCATCCCCTTCCGGCACCGCGAGCACCACCTCAAATACTGGCTGCACTACCTGCACCCCATCCTGCGCCGGCAGAAGGTGGCTTACGGCATCTACATCATCAACCAGGTGAGTGGGGCAGGGGCTGTAGCGGGCAGCAGGGCTATAGTGGACAGTCTGTGCATCGCTGAGCTCTGTGCCATGTGTTCTTGTGCACAGTATGGCGAGGACACCTTCAACCGGGCCAAGCTGCTCAACGTGGGCTTCCTGGAGGCACTCAAGGATGACGAGGAGTACGACTGCTTCATTTTCAGCGATGTGGACCTCATCCCCATGGATGACCGCAACCTGTACCGCTGCTATGAGCAGCCACGGCACTTTGCTGTTGGCATGGACAAGTTTGGGTTCAGGTGGGTGCCTGTGCAGCTGTGATGTTCAGGGCAGGGCTGGAATGGCCCTTGTCGGGTTAAAGCCAGGGATGCCTGGTTGTTGCCTGGGGTGTGCATAGGGTCAGTGGCTTAATTTGAGGACATGAGATGGCTGAGGTTGCAGAGCCCTCAGAGTGTCATGGTGAAGGGCTGTTGCTTGTCTATGGATTGGGGGTCCCCAGTGGGACTGGTCCTGTTCCTCGCCTGCTCCTGATCTCTTTGCTCTCACTCTGCAGGTTGCCCTATGCAGGGTATTTCGGTGGTGTCTCTGGGCTGAGCAAGTCCCAGTTCCTAAAAATCAATGGCTTTCCCAACGAGTACTGGGGCTGGGGAGGAGAGGACGATGACATCTTTAACCGGTAGGTGCCGCTCCTTGGCTCGGAACTTGCTGGGATTTGCTGGGACTCCCTGCTGAGAGCAGCCCTGGCACAGTAAGCAGCCAGGAACTCCCTGTCTGCTGGGAACATGTATGTTGGCTCCCTGCCGTGTAACAAAGAGGAGTTTAATTACCCTCTGTGTGCTTCAGGTTGCCAGGACTGGGAACAGCACGCTTGTGCCATGAATCAAACTAGCCGGTATGGGGGTATATAGGAATCATTTGGAGGTGAATCTGTCTGGCGTGGTGGAGCCCAGCCTCCCCCTCTTGCTCTTTGTGATCAGTATACTGTGATTTCAAACCACATGAGCAGGAAAGCCTGCCTGCAGGCGCTGTTCCAGGCCGGGATCAGGATATACAAAACTTGAAAGTGGCTCTGTAGTGGCTGCTCAGCACCAGAACAGGCACTTCTGCCTGCAGCCAGTAGGCTGCAGCAGATCCATGTGTAGATCCTTCTGTTTAATGCAGGAGCCAGAGAACTTCAGAATTGTTTCTAGCATGGCCTGTGACACTGCCAAGCAACAACGCATGTGAGCAACTTGTGGCTTGTGGTGCACTACAGCATCTCAGGGTAGCATAAGCTGATAATCCTTAGCAAGTGCTGTGTGGCAGAGCATTTGTGGTTCCCTTCTAGAAGTAAGCAGCCCAAAGACATGATCCCAGATGAGGCAAAGTGCAGCATGCTGAGCTTTCTGGGAGATTTAGGCAGCCATTAAAATGTGTGGAGGGCCCTGAGGGAGTTGTGTCACCACTTGGCTGCTCTAGCAGCGGAATCTCAGCTTGCTCACTTATCAAGCTATAGGTGGTTGTGTGGCTGGGATGAGGAGAGGTTTCTCTTCATGAGCTAGGATCTCTCCAGCTTTCTTACTCCCACTTGGCCTCTCAACTTCAAATGAACTATTCTAGGCGGAGAAGATCTCTCCCCACCTGCTGGCTGCACAGGCAGAAAAAAAGCAATTGAGGCTGGAGCTGTGCTGCATTAAGGGAAGGGTAGGGCTCTGGCATTTGGAGAATGTAAACAGCAGTGGCTTCAGAGCTATGGAGGAATAGTGGTGTTTGCTTAGCACCAGCTGACTGCCTGAAGTGCTGAAGGTCTCCTGAAGCACTAGCTTTGGTCATGGCCTGCTGTTGAGTGAGGTACATCCTTGGCCGTGGGCACTGTCATAGCTGTGGCCTGGCTTAGCACAACCGTGTTTCTCATTTAGCTATGGACAGGTTTATTTTTGATGAGGACCCTTGGGAAAATATCCTGTCCTGGTGGCACACTGATCCCCATCTGCTTGCATCCTCCAGGATCTCCCTGAATGGCATGAAGGTGTCGAGGCCCGACATCCGCATCGGGAGGTATCGCATGATCAAGCACGAACGCGACAAACACAACGAGCCCAACCCGCAGAGGTGAGCTGGAGGTGCCCAGCCTTTGCTGTTGTACCTGTGGCTATCAGTTTTGCC